AAAAAAAAAAAAAAGAAACAGCTATGTTAGCTTTACTTATATTAAATTGCTATATTAAAGAAATTTACTTTTTCATTAAAACACATGATAATTCTACTTGTTTCTACATACTTAACAGAAAACTCAAGAGTACAAATATGTCATTGCTTGCCTCCGAAAAATTGCTGACATCCTCTGTGGCCATCTGTCAAGGTGGTCATCCCTTTGTGATTGATGGAATTAGAGAAGTATCGGGGTTCTACGGATCGACAAAGGAAAATCTGTGCTCTTGGCTTCTGGTATTTATTTTCTTGGTCCTGTTAAAAAGGAAACAAGGGTGAATTTACCAATTTTGAACAGAAAGCCAGTTATTCCATATTTCTTTAGATTCATATTAAAGGATGTTTTGAGATTTTATGAGATCTCATTAAGAATTTAATCTTACACACACGACTTGCTAAATTTATTACTGTGGTAAGAGCTACATCAATCAGATGATTCAATCTTTGTATTTTACATTATAGGAAACAGAAATCCAGAAAGGTTAAACAAATCAACCAATGTTACAGCCAATTAGTGTCAGAATCAGCAGAAGAAGATAGCTCTTATTATTCCAAGTTCAGGACTCTTTCCTCTAGATGTCTCTTAGCAGGTAGAGATGAAGACTCTTTGTAAGAGGGAGGGAGATTGGGAAGAGTATTGTCATAGCCAAGCTAATTTCTCAACCCTAATGTTTAGAGAAAACCTGAGCACAAGAAACAAAAAACATGGTAGTTTAATAATTTTTAGATTATTAATTCATAGCAGAGCACTTGGTCAAAAGATACTCTATTAAGGTCTGACTAAGATACTTTTTTTTATTGATGAAATAAAATTTTACCTTTAAATTTCTTAATTTTATCCAGAACCATGATCATTTATTTTTCCCAATCCTTACAACTGCAACAATCTGTTATCCACACAGCAAGAGTGATATTTTTATTATCCACAGAGGAAGAATGATATTTTTAAAAAGAAAATTGGATATTAGATGCTGAAAACTCTCCAGAGATTTCTTATAACAGTTATAATATAGTCCAAAGGCCTTATTATGATTGGGCTTCTGATAACCTGTCAGCCTATCCAGTCATTCTTCCCCTTGCTTGGTATTCAACAACCTTAGTGGCCTTTTTGTTCTTCCTCAAGTATGCTAAACACACTTACTGTTTATGTCTTTGATCTTGGTCTTCCCTCAGGCTGGAACACTTGGCCCTACATAGTCTCATATCTGTTCTCAATGACTGACTGCAATACTCTATTCGCTCAAGAGATCCATTGCATGATTCAATAATCTGCCCAAATGCCACCTCCCAGAGAGGCCTTTTCTTACCAGTCCAGCTAAACAACTTACTCTCTACTCCTTGCCTCCCTGCCCTTTGTCCCTCGCTTTCTATATCCGTATCTTGCTTCATTTCCATTCATGGGATTTATAATGTTTAGATATTGCAGAGCCCAACACAATCCCTATGGGCGCCAGATGTGTTCTGGAATTGTTTTGAGTTTTCATAGGTAATATGGTCCACGTACTGTAATTATGTAGCATGCCCCTTTCCAACTCTGTGAGAAATCTGGGAAAGCACTCTGAAATAAAATATGTTAATATCTCTACAACAAATCATACATTCATTGCAAGTGGGATTTTTAAAAAGACAATAAAGAGCCGCGAATCAGTTTTACTACTAAACAAGTTAAGATTAGGTCAGGTTTTACCATTATATGAATTGCCGAAACTTAAGAGTTTCAGAGCTTTTTGATTTTGGAAGTGCTTTTATGGGATTGTGGACTATACTACATATTAAGTTCATTTCTTTATTGTCTGTTTCCCTATATGTACATGTTCCATCAAACACAAAGGAATGACACCTGATATGTTGACCAGACCAGAGACTTTCTCTTTTTAGTTGCTGCATACCTAGTGCCTAGGAGATAATAGTCTATAAATATTAGTGTAGTGGATAATGTATTTTATGTCACAAATATACAATAGTGAACTTTTGTGTGAATGTAAACCTAGTAATAATAACACTGAGCATTTACTATGTACCAGACACTACTGTAAGTTTATTTTGTTTATTAAACTTACAGCAACTCCATTAAGAGGGTACTAATATTCTGCCCTATGGTAGAATGAATTACTCCTTTTCTTCACACCTCCATGGAAGGTGTATGTATACCTCTGTGCTCTCTGACTTTGGCTTGGCCATATGATGTGCTTTCACCAATAGAATAACAGCAGACATCAAATAGCCAGAGCCTTGAAATATGCTTGCGCAGTCAGGCCTCTCCCCTTGCTTTCCTGCTTTCACTCTGAGGGAAAAAAAATGCTTCAGACAGTTGTATGTCTAAGGAAGATAACACATGTGGCACAGACTTAGACTCATCCTCCACTAGGAACCATGTCCAGTTGAGCCCAGCCTAGATCAGACCTATTCCAGTTTACCCACAGACTCCTGAGTGAAAACTAAATGCTTGTTGTAGTATGCCAGTGAGATTTTGTGGTGGTTTGTACTACAGCAAAAGCTCACTAATAAACTTCCTTTTTATGGAGAATGAAAATGAGGGGCAGAGATTAAGTAACTCGTCCAAATTTTCACAGCTAATCGATAGAGCTTGGATATGAAACCATGAGTCTGCCTAAAGGGCCTACACTCTTAAACCCCATGCTATATTGTTACATTATACTGGCTGTATTGTATGATATTAAGCCATTTATTAAAATGGCAGTAGGTGATACGGCACATATTAAAAATTCATAATTGTAAATGTAGTCTAATTGTTGACAAAGTTGTCTTGCAGCTTTGGGTGAAATGTTTTGTCTTGAGAGATTTAAGTATAAAATATAAAATGAATGTACTTTTTTCTGGAATCAGATTAATAAGACTATATATCTCACGCGGTTGGCTTCCCAGTTCACCCTGTTTCCAAACAGTGGCCCTCAGTGCTGATTACCCTATTACATGATTCCAGCTCTCTGACCCTGGCTGACCAATTCAGGCATGCATGTGTGATGCAGGCTGGATCCGCTAGATTTCTCTTCTAGTATTTTGAAGTTTGGACACATGACTGGGAGTTGCCATCAATGGCTCTCTGGAGAAAGCTGAAATCCCCAGAGCTACCCTTATGCCTTTCCTTTCCACCTGTCAATTCCATGAGATACTCAAGTATCTTCCCAAATACCCTTTTTGAATACCTGCCAAAACTTGTTTTTCTTGTTGCAACCAAAGAAATTTAGCCACAATAGCTTTTTTTTAAAATTTAATGTTTTTATTATTTTTTAAATTTTGGTATCATTAATATAAAATCACATGGGCAACATTGTAGTTACTAGATTCCCCCCATTATCAAGTCCCCATCACATACCCCATTATATTCACTATCCATCAGCATAGTAAGATGCTACAGAGTCACTACTTGTTTTCTCTGTGCTCTACTGCCTTCCCCATGCTCCCTTAGTCCATTCTTGGGTTCTGTGAGTCTCCTGATGCTTTGTTCATTCAGTTTTCCTTTGTTCTTATACTCCACATATGAGTGAAATCATTTGGTACTTGTCTTTCTCTGCCTGGCTTATTTCACTGAGCATAATACCCTCTAGCTCTATCTATGCTGTTGCAAATGGTAGGATCTGTTTTTTTCTTATGGCTGAGTAATATTCCATTGTGTATATGTACCACATCTTCTCTATCCATTCATCTACTGAGGGACATTTAGGTTGCTTCCATATCTTGGCTATTGTAAATAGTGCAGCGATAAACATAGGGGTGCCATCTGTCTTTTTCAAACTGGAGTGCTGCATTCTTAGGGTAAATTCCTAGAAGTGGACTTCCTGGGTGAAATGGTATTTCTATTTTGAGGATTCTGAGGAACCTCCATACTGCTTTCCACAATGGTTAAACTAATTTACATTCCCACCAGCAGTGTAGGAAGGTTCCCCTTTCTTCGCATCCTCACCAGCATTTGTACTTCCTAGTCTTTTCGATGCTGGCCACCCTAATTAGTGTGAGGTGATATATCATTGTAGTTTTAATTTGCATTTCCCTGATACATAGCGATGTGGAGCATCTTTTCATGTGCCTGTTGGTCTTCTGAATTACTTCTTTGGAGAATTGTCTGTTCATATCCTCCCCCATTTTTTAATAGGGTTATTTGCTTTTTGGGTGTTGAGGCGTGTGAGTTCTTTATATATTTTGGATGTTAACCCCTTGTCAGATATGTCATTTACAAATATATTCTCCCATGTTGTAGGATGCCTTTTTGTTCTGCTGATGGTGTCCTTTGCTGTACAGAAGCATTTTAGCATGATGTAGTCCATTTGCTTATTTTTTGTTTTGTTTCCCTTGCCTGAGGAGACGCGTTCAGGAAAAAGTTGTTCATGTTTATATTCAAGAGATTTTTGCCTATGTTTTCTTCTAAGAGTTCTATGGTTTCATGACTTACATTCAGGTCTTTGATCCATTTTGAGTTTACTTTGTGTATGGGGTTGGACAATAATCCAGCTGCATTCTCTTACATGTAGCTGTCCAGTTTTGCCAACACCAGTTGTTGAAGAGGCTGCCATTTCCCCATTGTATACCTATGGCTCCTTTATCATATATTAATAATCAATATGCTTGGGTTTATATCTGGGCTAATCACAATAGGCTTTAAAAAATCCATTGTTCTCCTCATTATAATTTAAATATGCAGAGTAAGGATTTAAAAAAACTTTTTTTATTTTGATATAATTAATGTACAATTACTTGAACACCATTATGGTTACTAGACTCAGAGTAAGGATTTTTTAAAAAAGAGACCACATAAAGCTTGCATTTGTTTTATAGTCTCTCAAAGTAATTTTTCAATTCATAGTTATGGATCACATGTTCTCTGATACTAGTTAAAAATTCTTTCATATTTTAAAATCAGCACCCACAGACCCTCAGAGCGTCTGTGGACAGAACTATGTTTTAGTAAGGTTGAATAAAGTAGATTCACTTTATAATCCTATATATTTTATTTTATGCATTTAAAAACCATTTTATGAAGAGTTTTCTATATTAATTTTTATAATGAAAGGCAAGTGGACATATAGGATTATTTGTGCCATTGATTCACTCAAAAACTATTTATGAACCCAAAAATATTCCAGACATTGTTTGGGTAGGGACTGAACAGTGTCTGCCCTCACAGAGTAGCAATAAGAAATAATATGTGGAATATAACTTGAAAATTTCATAGTCCTATTAGTAATGAATGTAGTATGTCTACACAGTAAGGAGACAAGAGTAGCTTAAAAGTTTGA